CCCGTTTGTAATCTAAAATGACTGAAAATTGCAAACTTCGCAAGGCTATATTATCCGCATTTTACAACATTTTGCAACGAAACTTTGCAATATTACTAATTTTGTGATGCTCTTTCAAGCTGTGATGAAATTTTTGTCTAGACCAAAATTTAGTCTATTACGCAAATGGTCAATTCCCATCTATACAAGACCCTTCAACTACAGTAAAGGTCCAGACACACCGGACGCGATTCGACAACGCGAGGCGATCTATTAGTTTTTTAAAGTTAATAAAACAGCCAATGTGAGCAAATTTTGAAAGACATGTAGACCAAATAACTCAAAATGTTATACGGCTTCTAAATATTTGGAAAATTCAAACTAGGATCAAAGTTAACGGTCAGTGAAAATCGAAAAATCGCGCCGCGTTGTCGAATCGTGCCCGGTGTGTCTCGACCTTTAGACTACGTTCAACTACAACAGCTGGAGTTTGTGTACAAATTTTAATTTAAATTAGCACTCATGACAACCCAAAATATTGAAAATAGAACAAAGAAATTTCAACGAAAAGCATTCGAATTTACTGTTTTGAGAGCTGAGATGCTAGGTTTGCAAAAGCGGTACAAAAAAGTAACGGCGTTTGTGTTGACACGAAGCCGTGAAGCGCTCCGTGTTCATCTCGCTCCGTTTAGAAACCGTGCTCAAATTGTTTCGTTTTCAAACAATTTCGCTGCGGCGTCGTGTGAACGCGAAGGCTAATGGAGGATTCCATTTATAGACTAAATTTTGATCTGGGCAAGAAGAACAAAATCCATCACCACAGCTAGAAAGAGCATGTTAAAATTAGTAAAATTGCAAAATTTGGCAGGGCTATATTTTCCTCATTTTACAACATTTCGCGGCCAAACTTTGCAATTTTACTAATTTTAACATGCTCTTTCAAGTCTGTTCGTCTTGCCTAGATCAAAATTTAGTCTATAGCTGGAACCAATCCATTATGATACACACACTCATGCAGTACAGACGTAAAAAGTTGTTACAGGTCTGGAAACAAGTTGTTCCAAACCTGTTCACAAGCTGTCGACAAGTTGTGTTCGCACTGCTTGTTCCCAGTTGTTGTAACAAGTCTGGAACAAGCTGTTAACAACTTGTAACAAGCTTGATGGCATTATCAGACTTGTTACAAGGTTGTTCTAACAAGTCTGATACAGTCATGATATAACAACAATGTTACAAGGTCGACGACACAAGGTTGTAACAATATTGTTATATCATGACTGTATCGGACTTGTTGGAACAACCTTGCAACAAGTCTGATAATATCAACAAGCTTGTTACAAGTTGTTAACAGCTTGTTCCAAACTTGTTGAGAACTTGGGACAAGCAATGCGAAGACCGGCTTGTTGGCAGGCTTGCTACAAGATGTGAGATTTTTACGCGTGTAGTTGATTTGATAGCAGAGAGTTTCAGATTTGACTCATTTACCATAAATGGACCATTTACCAAGCATTTGCAATGTCCGATTAACCAATCGGTTCCGTACTAAGGCTGTGAGAAGTACATATGTAAAAATATCACATTTTGTAGCAAGTCTGCCAACAAGCCGTCAACAAGTTGTATGCGCACTGCTTGTCAACAAGTTTAGAACAAGCTGTCAACAACTTATAACAAGCTTGTTGATATTATCAGACTTGTTGCAAGGTTGTTCCAACAAGTCCGATACAGGCATGATATAACAATATTGTTAGAAGCTTGTGTCGTCAACCTTGTAAAATTCTTGTTTATCATGACTGTATCAGACTTGTTAGAACAACCTTGTAACAAGTTCGATAATGCCATCAAGCTTGTTGCAAGTTTGTTAACAGCTTGTTCCAAACTTGTTACAACAACTGGGAACAAGCAGTGCGAACACAACTTGTCGACAGCTTGTGAACATCTAGATTTGTAACAACTTGGAAGTCAAATTTGAACCTCTTCATACTGCATATATAAAAATTAAATATTTGAGTTAACCATACCTGCGATTTGTTAAATTTGCTTTCAAGACCTTTATCGGTTGGGAGAAATATTGTGAAAGGTCCTCGATCAGTAAAGGCGAAGGTTAAGTCAGGATGTTTTTTGATAATGTTCTTGACGTGGATGAACTTGTCCTTATTCTGGCCATAACCATGCAGATCATCGATTCTCTAAAAATGAATGTAGTTTCGAACCTTAAGCACAGAATAATTACATACAGAGGTCTCACCGTCAGATAGTTTTTACTGCGCATGTATGGCGGCCATGTTCTTAGCAAGGACAGATGAGTAGATGACGTTTATGTAAATCTGATTTCTTTTTGCTTTTTCCTTAGAGAAAGTTATAGATCTGTTTTCGTTGAATTTGAGCCCCCCCGAATTAGGTTTGGAAAAATCTCAGGCCTCCCAGTTCCTCACCGATCCCCAAACCCATAAATAATGAATAGTTCCCAAGGTGTTTAGTTTTTGGCGATGGGGGAAAACCAAATGCATTAATGAAGAAGGGAACAAGAGTTTTTAACGAGGACGCGAGTTGAGACTCGAGAGTTTACACTGCATTTAAAATATACCTGTACAATATTTCCGTAACAGTATGTTCCATTTCCAACATACCCACTTTTGCATTGGCACCTTTAAAGGAAATTCTCAAAATCATCAATAATTCACAAAACACAAAGGAAAGACGGTGCGAGATTACTTACTCTTTTACACCAGGAGCGGACATGACGCATTCAGCATTCAATGCGAGGCAATCTTTGTCAGGAATACACAGGTTTATGATGGAACAACCTTTCACTTGGTCGTAGCTGTCATAACCAGATAAGCATGGACAATTAGCCTAAGAAAAAAGCATGCATACAAAGAATTAAAGGGATTTGGCAATAAAAACTAACTTTGTCTTATTTGAAAGAACTTTTAAAGTTACATATACAGACCCTTTACAACTGTTTCGTAGCTTGGTTGGTTTTCGAAATATTTTCACCAGAAACAGTGTGCAGTCCGCCTTCTTGGTATTATAATGAACCATTTGCATTATAGACTAAATTTTGATCTAGACAAAAATTTCATCACAGCTTGAAAGAGCATCGCAATTTCCCGTGTATTACGCACGGGAAATTGACAGCCCAATCGGGTGTTGGGGCATCAATTTTCCGTTTGTAATCTAAAATGACTGAAAATTGCAAACTTCGCAAGGCTATATTATCCGCATTTTACAACATTGCGCAACGAAACTTTGGAATATTACTAATTTTGTGATGCTCTTTCAAGCTGTGATGAAATTTTTGTGTAGATCAAAATTTAGTCTATAATGCAAATGGTCCATTGACCTAATTAACTGAGTTTTTGATGACGTCACAAGCAGGGTAAAAGTTGTTAAAGCTTCTTCATGTGCGACTAAATTTCTTGGAAAAGTTTCTTAAAATGTTGTGAGTTAATTGAGCACTAAAAAGACTTTGGAAAATCGAATTTCATATTGATAATGACATGTGGTTTGCAATATAAAAATTTCGATTTTTACCCTACTTGTGACGTATTCATATCAAATGCATATCCAAGATGGCGGAATGGTCGCTGCTTTTGATCAAAATAAGTCGATTTATTTCGAAACCCAAGAAAGATACGGAATAATTGTAAAGGAAGTTTACATATAATTTAAATGTTCTTTCAAATAAGATAAACCTAATTTATATTGCGATATATCCCTTTATTTTTAACCAAAATAAGCTATATGCATTATTTTTACCGCGCGTAATACAAATATATACAAAATTTGCGAACTTCACAGGGCTATACTTCCTTCATTTTACAACATTTTGCAACCAAACTTTGCAATTTTACTCATTTTAAGATGCTCTTTCAAGCTATGGCCATTACCATTCGTTCTTCTTGTCCAGATCAAAATTTCGTCTATATAGCTGGAATAATCTATCATAATACTGTCAGTGGTGAAGCTATAGCTATATAGCAACAGGTGATGCTATTTTTTTAGGTAATGGAAAAGTCCCAGAATTTGCTTCTATACAGAACTGTAGTGCACGAATAATTGTGAAAGTCGTTTTGTCCCAAGTAAACTCGCGAAATAGCTATTTCCATGGAAACGAGGCTTCTATTTCGTTAGGCAAGAATGTCTGATTACATTTTTCTATTCTAGTTATTCTGGACCAGTATATTGATTCGTAATTTTTGACAAATTAAATTGCACAATTTTATCGCCCCAAGGTATGTGGTCGTCTTCGTAAAATACATATGGTTCATTATATGTAAATATGGTTCATTAATGTTGATTCACATTTGTGCAAATGAGAAGCGAAATGTGTTTGGCAGCTGCAATTTTTTTGACATTTATTTTTTTATTTTTCTTCGGTAAAATTATTTTTCAGCCGTTATTTAAGGATATAAATTGACATGGTTTTCCATGCATATATAGGATTCTCGTACACAAATATCCCTTGAATTTCGTAAAATTACTTATGATTGACGGTATATGAAATTGTTTAATTCGGTTATTTAAGTTAGTCAAATGTTTATTTTTTCATCTTTCTTCGGTAAAATGACTATTATTTTTCAGTTGTTATTTAAGGATAAATTGACATGGTTTTCCATGCATATATAGGATTCTCGTATACTACAATCCCTTGAATTTCGTAAATTTACTTATGATGGGCGGTATATGAAATTGTTTAATTTGGTTATTTAAGTCGGTCAAGTGTTTTGCCAAAACAACAAATTTTAATAAAATTTACCACCTGACACACTCCCGTCTTCCTAAAGTTGTAAACTGTTTCAAAAGTCATAATAGTTTTGCCAGAATATCGGCGCAATCTCCGCGAACACGCGTTTAATTAGCCTTTCTCGCGATGACGAATATCCTCCATTTTTGGGTGGCATCTAATTCTCGTTAACCGATGCAGACAATTAAAACAATGTGAAAAGCAACTTTTCAAAATAAACTAACCATTTACAAAGCAAATTTATACCATCATTCGTCGAAAAAATTATAAAAAGTCGCTGTTATGTGGACTTATCTCTCAGACTTCGGCTGAAATGCCACCCAAAAATGGCGGCGTGAAAAAGGCTAATTCAGGCGGCATCAGGTATTATGAAATTGTTTAATTTGGTTATTTAAATTGGTCAAGTGTCTTGCCAAAACAACATTGGAAATTTTAATAAGGTTGTAAATTGTTTCAAAATTCATAATAGTTTGACATTTATTCTTTTCATCTTTCTTCATAAAATGACTATTATTTTTCAGTAGTTATTCAAATAAATTGACGTGGTTTCCATGCATATATAGGGTTCCCGTATACTAATATCCCTTGAATTTCGTAAAACTACTTATGATTGGCGGTATATGAAATTGTTTAATTTGGTTATTTAAGTCGGTCAAGTGTTTTGCCAAAACAACATTGGAAATTTTAATAAAATTTACCAGCTGACACCCTCCCTCTTCCTAAGGTTGTAAATTGTTTCAAAAGTCATAATAGTTTCGCCAGAATATCGGCGCAACGTTTATAGGCAACGACGCGTTTAGTTCAGGCGGCATCTGGTATTATGAAATAGTTTAGCAGTTTTCCTCATTATAGTCGTTAATATTCAGAACACGTCAGCACGCACATTGTACGCATGCGTCAGAAATATATGTTGAACCGAAGCAAATACTCATTTATACAAAATGTACAAAGACTTTTGTCATCAATAGATTTCATGCTGTATCTCAAGGAAAATCTCAAAAATCCCATTTACTCAATATTTTAGTCACTCTAGAACTCAAATTTTCATCGCACTACAGGACTATTCTTCCATTGAATAATTAAATTCAGAATCATTGACCAATCAGGTTGCAAAACAGACAGACCAACACCAGAGCGTTTTTCGCTGACCATCCAACCGGGGAGGAAAGGGCACTGGGTCCGAGGTTGACCCATTTTGGAAAATAGAAGACCTTAGGATGACCCTCACACGACGCTTTTTAGCCTCGTTTCTGTCATGCTTGACCACAAGTAGTTTTTAAAATTCGAAGCAGTGTCGAGCACCTTTTGATCTGCAGTTGGAAACACATGGGGGGGGGGGGGGGGGGG